ACTTCCCCCATGCCAAGTGCTATTCTAAGCACAACAGCTCTGTAAGGGAGGTACTGCTATTATTGTTTTATAGATGAATTAACCAAGACACAGAAAGGTTAAGAAACTTGCCTAAGGCCACACAGCTAGTGAGTGATAGAGCCTGCATTTAATTCAGGTGTCTGGCTACAGAGCCCACATCTATAACCACCACACTGACTGCCTCATTCTTGTGTGTCCTTTGACCCATGAGGAGATGTCACCAAGGGTTTACAATTTCTGCTCCTGGGATGATAAAAAAGGAACCACAACCCCATTCTACTCTGCTGATGGTTCCTTCCAGGCCATGATCACAGGCAAACTTTTAGTGCCTATTCTCATTTCCTGCTTGGGGGTCTAGGACTGTTCAACAATGGATGATGCCTATTTTCAGCTGAGGGCTGAGTGCTACACAGGATTTATCTACCTCAAAAGTGTGAAAACCTTGCCTGGCCTCTCTCCCCTGAAATTTCCACCTTGGTGCATCAAAATAACTGAGGAAGGGTCTAGTGCAGAATAGGGAGGTACCCCTGTTGGGAATCCCTAAAACTGAGAGAGGTAAAATTGGGGTGCACATGGATGTTGGAGTTGGCCAGAGAAGAGTAAGAACCCTGGTTCTGCCACTTCCTAATCCCTCTCTGTGAAATGGGCTGATCATAGTACTTAACTTCAAGAAGTCCCGAGAGAAGTAAACGGGACTATGCTAGTGCAGTGCCTGGAGAACATCCTTACGGGAACTTTGTGAGGATTCAGTAAGTACACACTCGTGAAGAGCTTAGATCAACTCCTGGCACCTGGAAGCACCAAGTCTTACTCTTCTAGACTCTTCCTGGGTAATTTAACTTTAAGGGCTTAATTTCTATCTGCTGATTTTCTTCTGAGCTATAGACCTAATCACTTCAATGTGCAATAGGACTTTCCACTTGGAAGTCTTCCAAGGGTTGTTCATGCTCTGGACCTCTGTGTATATTTGATAGCTCTGCCTAAAAAGCCAGCTGTTAAGGGGAAAAAAAGCCATTTGCTTGGTTTGTGTATTTTGGGTGGCAAAAAATAGAGACTCATTAGGCAGCCTCAAGTTAGAAAAGCTGCAGGGAGGCCCTGAATGGGGTCAGGCCACACGGGAGTTTCAGCCCTTGACTAGTCCAGCTTTGTTGGCTGGGTTATCTTGTCCTTCAGGCTCCTACTGGGCAGCCTTCCCTCCTAGGCAAACCTCATTCCTGACTACGCAGCTGCCCCTTAGGAGATAAGTTGGGTGACTGCATATGGCCCCCAAAGTCTTAGGGTGGCTTTCCTTGGAGAACCTGACCTCAGCCATTTTATTGTGGGGCCCTCAGAGGCACTGGCCTCTCTTCCATGGAAGCTCATTCCGAAGCTTTGGCTTTGTGTGCTCCTCCCTGCACCCAGCTCAAACACCCTTGGCTTTGTGACGCCTCTCCACCTCATTAGTCATTTCCCTCCTGCTCCATCACAACATATTGTAGTTATTGATGTCCAAAGCTGGTTCTCCAACTAGGCTGTCAGCTAGCCAGGCAGGGAGTGTGTATTATTTACATTTGTATCAACACCAAATGGGCCATCACTACGTTTGCTGAGTGAATGACACACCAGCATTTTCAGCACTTCTTTGTGGTGGTCACTCACCTCAAGGGGGGTACAGGGAACTCTCCACATGAATCATGCCAGCAGGGCCTGGGGTGGCATTTTATTAAAAAATGTTTTTAAAGTAAATTAGTTGTTTTAAAAATAATATATTTTAAAATATATCTTTACTGATTTCAGAGAGAGGAAGGGAGAGGGAGAGAGAGAGAGAGATAGAAACATCAATGATGAGGGAGTCATTGATGAGCTGCCTCCTGCACACCCCTCACTGGGGACTGAGCCAGAAACCCGGGCATGTGCCCTGACCGGGAATCGAAACTTCTTGGACCATAGGTCCATGCTCAACTGCTGAGCCATGCTTGCCAGGCTAAAATAATATTTTTACAATTAAAAAATAATATGTGCATTGAAAAACATTTTAAAAAATCTGAATATGTGAAGTTAAATGTTAAAAATCCCCCTCTCTTCTTTTCCAATCCAGTATACACTGGTAAACACCAATCAAATTTTTTTAACAGCTTTATTGATATATAATTCAGATACCATACAATTCGCCCATTTAAAGTGTACAGTTTAGTGTTTTTTAATATATTCCTACAGATGTGCAACCATTAATACAACTTAATTTTAGGACATTTTTGTTTCCCCCCAAAGAAACTCTATTAACTGTCACTTCCCACCTCCACCCTTCTCCTTAGCCCTGAGCAACCACTGATTATCTTCCTGTCTCTATAGATTTGCCTATTGTTGGACATTCATATAAATGACCCATACACTATGTGGTCTTTTGTGTCTGGCTTCTCTCACTTAGCATGTTTTTGAGGGTCATCTATGTTGTAGCATGTATCAGTCCTCCATTCCTTTTTATTGCTAAATAGCATTCCATTTTATCAATATAGCACAATTTTTTAACCCAATCACCATTCACTATTAACAGTTTAATACAACTCCTGTATATTTTCAGATTGTTTGAGTTTGAATCCCTGCTGAACAAGTTCCTAGGTGAGTGACCTTAGGTAAATCATAATCTTTCTAAGCCTGCCTCTGTTTCCTTGACAGTAAATTTTAAACAACAATGGAATTTACCTCACAGAGTGTCATGGTTGTATTATCACAGTAATTAATATTTGTTGAGCACTTAACTATATGCCAGGCATGTTATAAGGATTACCTAACAACTCTATGATTTTCAGATTAGGGAACTGAGGTTTGGAGAGGTGAAGGTCAAACAGCGCCTAAGAAAATGATGGAGGTAAACAGAATCAGAGGCAGACCAAATGCATAGCCCTCCCAGTACCGTGGAATAATGAAGTGCTTAGCCAGGACCTTGTAAAGAGAATCAATTTAGTAAATAATAACTGATAGAACCATAAAAAAGCAGAAAAAAATTAGCAATTGACTCACCATCTAAAGAAACACACCACTTAACATTTAGGCACACTTCCTTCCAGTCTTTAGGGGATATTTCAAACACACCAAAAACCCCCAGAGGATAACAGACATCAAACCTCCACCCCTGTTTTTAAAAATACATAAAATGTAGTAGATCAGGTGGCTCTACTTCCCAAACCCTTAGGTAATTTATTCCCTATATATTATTTTTCCTTTGACTATCAGAGAAAATGATAGATATCATTTTCTATCTTTAAAAAACCCTATCCTGAGCATTTCCCCAATATACCAAATGTGCTACATGACTTTTCATGGCTTTGTATTATACTGTATGATTGAAAGATTTTATTAATTCCCCATTGTTGGGCATTTAGGCTATCTCCCAGTAAAAAACATCACTACACATCATCTTTCAAAGCTCCTGACGATTCCCTTTGGATAAATTCCTAGACAGGCCGGAAGGTCAGAGGCTGCCTCACCTTAGGGCTCTTCATGAGTACTTCTTTTTTTTGCCAAATAGCTCTCAAGGAAGAATGGGAACAGGGAGAAAGTAGGCCGGGGCTGTTTTTTAGACCTCTGTTATGCCCGGTGGGGCGTGGCTCAGTAGTTGAGGGTCGACCTAGGATCCAGGCGATCGGGGTTCGATTCCCAGTCAGGGCACAGGCCGGGGTGGCGGGCTCAGTCCCCAGCCAGGGGCGGGCAGGAGGCCGCCGGTCCNGGAGTGGGATCTTTGCGCGCCCACGGCCAGAGGCGACGAGTCAGGCTCGACATGGAAGTGTAAGCCACCCAGGGCGCGTCCGGGCTGTGGGCCGAGGCTCACAGAGGGGGACGACTAGGTGTAGGGAGCTGAGAGGCGTGGGCACTGGGCGACCCCCTGTCAGGCCGCGTGGGGAGGGCGACGGGCGGGGAGGCGGGGAAGGAGGACTCGCCTGCTCCTCTGAACCTCGGCCCGGGGCCGCGCGCCTTTCCGTGTGCCTGCTTCGTCCCTCGTTCATTTGCTAGCGTTTCCGGAGGTCGCAGCGGGGAGCTCGGGCCGGTAGCTGAGCCCGGACTGAGAAGGAATAAAACCTGAGTCCGCCCTGGAGGTACCTGGAGGAGACAGGGATACACTGTGCCTGGGCCTTGGGCTCCCAGGAGCCCTGACTCACGAGGCTCTCCAAGTTTGAGGAGGAGCAGTGAGCCCTTTAAGGGACGAGGGAGGTGTTCTGGGAAGAGGGAAGTGCTCGAACCTGGATTGTGACTGCAGAAACTGCACGGGGGTGTGTGTGGTAACAGCCATTCTAAGTTTAACTCCAGTCTTATCCGTGTTTGCTCTTTGTACTACATGCACATGGGAGTTTTTGCAGCTACTCTGCATGTGGGTTTTTACATGGCTGACATTAATTCGTAGGCATACCTATAATTGTGTTCGTCTTTGGCACTGATTATTTAATACATAGATGTTTCCCTCTCTCTCTCTCTCCACCCCCCTCCCTTCCACTCTCTAAAAAAAAAAAAAATCAGTGGAAAAAATAACCTCAGGTGCGGATAATAATAANCAAAAAACAAAAAGAGTCTGTTAAAACATACATACATAAAAGTGGACACTAGTGTATAGCTCGCTGAACTTTCGCGGATAAACTCACCGCGTGTCCAGCACGCAGATCATGAAAAGGAGCATTTGCAGCAGCCCGGAGCCGCCTCACCTGCTGGGCATCACTACTCTCAGGGGGGTGGGATTTTTAACGTCGCAAAGGACTACTAACGCGACCACGTCCTTGGAACCTGAGCTTATTAAAATTTTGGTCACGAAAACATGAGCAAAGAGCGCGGGGTACAGACGCTGACCTCGGCCGGCGGCACGGGGATCCCGCGGGGTCCGCCGGACTCCCGGCGTTCAGCGCGGC